ATGCATCTATCCATATAGATGGATATATTGATATACATACGTCCATATTCCAAAGCGACTTATGATGCAATTAAAGGGATAGTTCACCCAAAAATGAAAATTAGCCCATGATTTACTCTCCCTCAAGTCATCCTAGGTGTATATGACATTCTTCTTTCAGACGAATACAATCAGAGTTATATTCAAAAAATGTCCTGCTCTTCCAAGCTTTATAATGGCAGTGAATGTCTGTTTCTGTTTTGAAGTCCATAAAAGTGCATCCATCCATCATAAAAGTGCATCAATCCATCATAAAAGTGCATCTGTCCATCATAATCACTTTTATCATGGATAGATGCACTTTTATGATGGATAGATGCACTTTTATCATGGATAGATGCACTTTTATGATGGATAGATGCACTTTTATGATGGATAGATGCACTTTTATGATGGATAGATGCACTTTTATGATGGACAGATGCACTTTTATGATGGATAAATGCACTTTTATCATGGATAGATGCACTTTTATCATGGATAGATGCACTTTTATCATGGATAGATGCACTTTTATGATGAATAGATGCACTTTTATGATGGATAGATGCACTTTTATGATGGACAGATGCACTTTTATCATGGATAGATGCACTTTTATCATGGATAGATGCACTTTTATGATGGATAGATGCACTTTTATGATGGATTGATGCACTTTTATGATGGATAGATGCACTTTTATCATGGATAGATGCACTTTTATGATGGATAGATGCACTTTTATCATGGATAGATGCACTTTTATGATGGATAGATGCACTTTTATCATGGATAGATGCACTTTTATGATGGATAGATGCACTTTTATGATGGATAGATGCACTTTTATGATGGATAGATGCACTTTTATGATGGACAGATGCACTTTTATGATGGATAAATGCACTTTTATCATGGATAGATGCACTTTTATCATGGATAGATGCACTTTTATCATGGATAGATGCACTTTTATGATGAATAGATGCACTTTTATGATGGATAGATGCACTTTTATGATGGACAGATGCACTTTTATCATGGATAGATGCACTTTTATCATGGATAGATGCACTTTTATGATGGATAGATGCACTTTTATGATGGATTGATGCACTTTTATGATGGATAGATGCACTTTTATGATGGACAGATGCACTTTTATGATGGACAGATCCACTTTTATGATGGATAGATGCACTTTTATGATGGACAGATGCACTTTTATGATGGATAGATGCACTTTTATGATGGACAGATGCACTTTTATGATGGATAGATGCACTTTTATCATGGATAGATGCACTTTTATGATGAATAGATGCACTTTTATCATGGATAGATGCACTTTTATGATGGATAAATGCACTTTTATCATGGATAGATGCACTTTTATCATGGATAGATGCACTTTTATCATGGATAGATGCACATTTATCATGGATAGATGCACTTTTATCATGGATAGATGCACTTTTATGGACTTAAAACCAAAACAGCCATTCACTTGCATTATAAAGCTTGGAAGAGCCAGGACATTTTTTAATATCACTCTGATTGTATTTGTCTGAAAGAAGAATGTCATATACGGTAATTAAATTTTTGGGTGAACTATCCCTTTAACGTCTAGCATGTAAAACATGCGCAGACATTAGTGTGTGTTATGGATGAGAGAAGTGCTCAGGTTCAGAGGCAGATATTAATTTGTTTGGCTAACTCTCTCTCCAAATCTGAAATCAGAGTGTCAAAGTCCTTCAGACTCAATCGGCACGTGAACGGGGCGTCGAAGTCGAGAGCGAAGTCATCCACGTACAAACCATCGGGCGACGCCCACACGTCCCGCTTCTTCGCCTCGTCCATGTCGTCGTCACTCTCGCTTCCCGCCACCTCGTCGTAATCTGCCTCGTCGTTCGACATGAAGTCCCGCCCACAAACGCTCCAGTCGCCAGCGTATCGGTTACAGGGCGGGCTTTCCAGACGGCCACGCCCCCTACGGGATACAACCGGCTCGTCCTGAAGGCCACGCCCCCTACGGGATACAACCGGCTCGTCCTGAAGGCCACGCCCCCTGCGGGACACAACCGGCTCGTCCTGAAGGCCACGCCCCCTACGGGACACAACCGGCTCGTCCTGAAGGCCACGCCCCCTACGGGACACAACTGACTCGTCCTGAAGGCCACGCCCCCTACGGGACACAACTGACTCGTCCTGAAGGCCACGCCCCCTGCGGGACACAACTGACTCGTCCTGAAGGCCACGCCCCCTGCGGGACACAACCGGCTCGTCCTGAAGGCCACGCCCCCTACGGGACACAACTGACTCGTCCTGAACCGAGGGAAGTGATCGCCGCAGTGAGGAACTCTGGGATACCGGAGAAGAGATGACCTGTGATTGGTCGGAGTCATCAATCACTCGTTCTTTGGGTACTGCGAAGAAACGGACATGAAATGCCGTTACACACTTGATATGTGGCAGATGTTAAAGTCAAGTCAGCTTTATTTCTATAGCGCTTTATACAATACAGATCGTTTAAAAGCAGTTTTAATTCCCCGTAATAAACAGTGTCAATGATGCAAACTTCTGCAAATATGAGACAAATTCAATATGAGACAAATTCAAATGTATAAAGCAGCTCTAAAAAGACAATAGTGTTGTTTTTTCAGCTCAATTCACTTCAGTGTTGAATCAGTTTTGATTCAATTCAATGTTGATTCAATTCAGTTCAATGACAGTGTCGATTTTGCAAAATTCAAATTATGAAACTAATTTGATTCCGTTATAAAGCAGCTTTACTAAAGACAATACTGTCGTTATTCAGCGAGAGTCCCTTCAATGTTGGTTCGATTCAATTTCGATAACACTGTCAGTTCCTTTTTCTATGGAAGCTTGTTTCCGCCACTGAATAAAAAAAATAATTGCGACTTTTTTTCTCACAATTGTGAGATATGAAGTCAGAATTGTGAGAAATAGTCGCAATTGCGAGACATAAAGTCGCAATTATGAGAAATAAAGTCGCAATTGCGAGAAAAAAAAGACAGAATTGAGACTTTTTATCTCACAATTGCGACTTTATTTCTCACAATTCTGACTTCATATCTCGCAATTCTGACTTTATAACATATAATTGCGAGTTTATATCTCGAAATTCTGACATCTTTTCTCAGAATTGTGAGATATAAACTCGCAATTGCGAGATATCAGGCCAATTCTAAGGAAAAAAAAGACTTAACTTTTTTCCCCTCAGAATAGTTTACATCTCACAATTCTGACTTTAACACGCAATTGCGACTTTATATCACGTAATTCTGAGAAATAAAGTCACAATTGCGAGATGTAAACTCGCAATTGTGAGAAAAAAAAAAGTCAGAATTGTGACAGATAAAAAGTCGCAATTACCTTTTTTATTTTTCATTCTGTGGCGGAAACAAGCTTCCATATTTTTCAGCTCAATTCAGTTTTGTTTAGTTCACATCTGATAGTATCAGTGCAATCAAATCAATAATGTAGCTGAATATGAAGTGTCTTTAAGGCCCAACTGAGCATGGCGTGTGTTCGTGCGCTCGCTCGCATCAAACTCTATACACACGGCACATATTTAGACTGATGTTCCATGCAAATCCACAACAGCTGTCGCAGGTTACTGAGATTCCTCCTGCATGTTACACGTGCGGCGTCATGAGAACAGGGGTCAAGGGTCGTAACATGACGCCTAGAGTTCAAACTGTTCGCATGACCTTTTGAGATGCAGCCGATTATTATCAGATTATATGCATGATATTTCATCGCATGAACGTTGCTGGAACGATAATCAAAACCGGAGGACATTCAGAGGAAAGAAGGATGCATGCGACCTCCTTCGTTTTATTCATTGTGCAAGTAAAAATCACCCTCGCGTGACTTCCTGCAGTGCAGAACAGGTTTGAAATGACATTTAACCCTTATCCTTTCCTCGCACTTTGTAACACATCTTTCAAAATGACCCGAAGCCCTAAAATTATGCTTCTTTATTTTTGTCCAGAATGCTTATTTTATTTCATTTTGATTATATTTTTTAATGCAATTTTTTTTGAGTTACCTTTAAATTACTATATTTGATCAATAAATAATAAATAAATAGTCATTTAAAGCACATTCCTCACATTCTTTCAACTTAAATTCAAAATTACTCACAATTTCATGCATAACCCTTTTAATTCAGCTCAAAATATCTTATATTGTGTGTCTTTGCCGACCTCTTGTGGAAAAAAAAATATATATATCATGATATTTCATGACTCTAGATGGGCTTATATCTCTATATGCAGCAGATGAGCTGTTCCGCAGGGTCCTAAAGCCAGTTCCTTTCACTGTGCATTCAGATACACATGTAGACATTATAAAATCATTTTTTGGTAAAGTTTTAGCATTTTTTGTTTGGATTTTGAGCATTTTTTGGTTTTTCCATGTGAACTGAAGCATTCCTGCATTCCTAACGAGGTCAAATTGACCCGCGAGGACAGGATTTGTTACTTTTTTTTTAAATTTCAACCACAACATTTTTTTCTTTATTCGTGGTTCAAGTGCGACAAAAGTCCTGTGGTCTTGGACCCCTCTGATGAACACTCAATTTTTTATATTTTTGGGACACAAACTCACCAGGCCAGAGCTGCAGGAGGTAGTGCAAAGCCTCTATGTGTCGTTTAAAGTCCACGGCGCTGGCGATCTCTTCACTGTGTGCAAAGCTACGCCCTCGAGCGGCCCCGGACCCCATCAGGGCCCCTGACCCGGGGGCCGTCAGCCCGGCCTGCCAGGACTCCTGTGTGGGCGTCAGGAGAACCGGCCCGAAGCACACGGCCAGGTTCTGGCACGTCATCCGGTTGCTGTCGCTGTAGGACGCCACCAGACTCAGATGATCCAGCAAGAAGGACAGAGTTGCCTTCAGAAGACACGAAATCACACACACATCAAACATGATGGAAGTACTAACATTGCTTTACAGTGACTTTTAAAAGTGAAACTGATTTTATGCATTACAGAATTTCCTTCAGAATGACGTGCATTGATGTACACACGGATGCATTAACAGAAACCCTTGTTGTTAGCGACACCGGTGGCCGTTTAGTGAACTGCAGCAGCACTTCCTTTTTGTGCACACGTAACACACACTAGACTGAGCGTGATTCAAGCCTCACGGCGAAGGACACTGGAAACACCTTTGCAGCATTATACTGTTAATGAACATTTACATGAGTATGCAAATATGTGCTGCGTGCTTTCCTCTTAATAACACAAACACAACCAAAATGACAGAAAACAGCAGTTCAGAAAGCATCTGATCACAGAGATGTGGACGTTTGCAGCAGATCTGAGATTCACCGGCCATTTAGGTCATTAAAATTACATTGATATGATAGTTTGATTTTAAAGTATATCTGACACTCTATACAGATCTGACTATGTGAGACTATAGTTTGAATAAAATCCTTTTCTTTGCATGACACATTGACATTACAGCACAGAAAGGCTCTTTCAGCATCATCCTGAACATTGTATAAGCACTCGCTTCAAAAGACAGGCTCTCGGGAGCGTAAACGTCACATCCTTTTGATTTTATGGTCAAGCACTTGCATAGGCTTTCATAGACAACCTGGGCACTCAGGGAAGGTCTTCACACATTTGCAATAAAAAAAAGTGATTAATACTTAAAGATTCTTACATGTAGCTTCTTTAAGAAAGCAAATCGAGCCCATTTTGATTAGACTTCAGAATGCTTAAACATGGTCAAATTATGCAAGCTCCTAAACGTGAGCCATACCTTTCTAAATGAAGAAAAGAGATGAGAAAAGAAAGAGTATACATGTATGAGGGCAGGAGGGGCGGGAGGCTCTCATTCACAATTAGTTTGTTTTGGACGATGTTGGAAACCCTCAGGCTGCTGTTCTGCTGCTCACATGGGACAAACACACACACACACACTCCCTCTCGCATAAACACTTCAGTGCTCTTACATAAAATCACGTCCTCAGGAAGAAGCTCAGACTCACGTCTGGCAGAAACAAGCACAGCCGAGCATGCAAGAAGATCCAATGAAATAACAGTGACAAACAGCTTAAGAAATGAATGAGGAAAAAATCTAAATGTTTGCCATTCTTATTAGATTTGTTTACTCAGAGTAAGGATGCACGGCTCCTTGAGGTCCATTTAAACCTTTCAGAAAACAATAAAATGCAAAAACTGAGATCCAATTGAACAGGCTAGTGTAGATCTTAAAAAAATAAACAGGAAAATTTTAGTCATGTAAATATCTGAATTCAACTATACTTTCTCAATCTTATTCAGAAACGTGATGCATGTGTGTCTATTTATCGACAACATCGTCCAAAACAAACTAATTGTGAATGAGAGCCTCCCGCCCTTTCTTTTCTCATCTCTTTTCTTCCTTTAGAAAGGTATGGCTCACGTTTAGGAGCTTGCATAATTTGACCATGTTTAAGCATCCTGAAGTCTAATCAAAATGGGCTCGATTTGCTTTCTTAAAGAAGCTACATGTAAGAATCTTTAAGTATTAATCACTTTTTTGTTTTATTGCAAATGTGTGAACAGACCTTCCCTGAGTGCCCAGGTTGTCTATGAAAGCCTATGCAAGTGCTTGATGTTAAAATCATAAGGATGTGACGTCTTTTGCTCAATGACACATGAAACTAATGCTTATACAATGTTTAGGGTTACAATCAGATGTAAGATGTAGGCAGATGTAAAATAGCCTACGGCTAACTCTTGTACAATACATCAAATGGCAACATTTATGTTTGAAATTGTACATGGTCCCTAATAAATAAATTAAGTGGAAGAGACTGAATGTTTGCTAAAAAAAGCTTTTCTGAATTTTTTTTTTCATGCACTGAACTTTTTGTTCGATATACATGTAATTTATTATCATTTAACGCCATATCAGCACCAAATGCTTTATTCAAGAGTAATAAAATGTAAAATAATCCTAATAACAACATATTAATGAATTGTATACAATAATTTAACAATATTATAAAATAGATAAATAATTCATACAATAATAATAACCATAACAGTTATATCAAATCTTTCTGCTTGATATTTTATAAAAAAAATTATGAATTAGATGTAATGCACATGTAAATGAATACATGTTTCGGATTGAAAAGTTTAAGGTGGATAATATACTACCGTTCAAAAGTTTTTATTTTGAAAGAAATGAATACTTTTATTCAGTGAAGATAATCTCAAATAAACGCTGTTCTTTTGAACTTTCTATTCATCAAAGAATTCTGAAAAATAAAATGTATGACCGTTTCCACAAAGAAATTAGCAGTTTTCAACATTGATAATAATCATAAATGTTTCTTGAGCATCAGATCATCATATTAGAGTGATTTCTGAAGGATCATGTGACACTGAAGACAGGAGTAATGATGCTGAAAATACAGCTTTGATCACAGGAATAAATTACACTTTACTATATATTCACATAGAAAACAGCTGATTTACATTATAATAATATTTCACTGTTTTTACTATTTTTGATCAGATAAACGCAGCCTTGGTGAGAAGAGACTTTCAGAAACATTAAGTTTTGAATGGCAGTGTAAACAGAACTGAGAATCTGAACTCGACGCCTAATGTCATAAAGCTTGACACCTAATGTCGCCTAATGTCATGAGCTTGACACCTAATGTCGCCTAATGTCATAAAGCTTGACACCTAATGTCGCCTAATGTCATGAGCTTGACACCTAATGTCGCCTAATGTCATGAGCTTGACACCTAATGTCGCCTAATGTCATGAGCTTGACACCTAATGTTGCCTAATGTCATGAGCTTGACACCTAATGTCGCCTAATGTCATAAAGCTTGACACCTAATGTCGCCTAATGTCATGAGCTTGACACCTAATGTCGCCTAATGTCATAAAGCTTGACACCTAATGTCGCCTAATGTCATGAGCTTGACACCTAATGTCGCCTAATGTCATGAGCTTGACGCCTAATGTCATGAGCTTGACACCTAATGTTGCCTAATGTCATGAGCTTGACACCTAATGTCGCCTAATGTCATAAAGCTTGACACCTAATGTCGCCTAATGTCATGAGCTTGACACCTAATGTCGCCTAATGTCATAAAGCTTGACACCTAATGTCGCCTAATGTCATGAGCTTGACACCTAATGTCGCCTAATGTCATGAGATTGACACCTAATGTCGCCTAATGTCATGAGCTTGACACCTAATGTTGCCTAATGTCATAAAGCTTGACACCTAATGTCGCCTAATGTCATGAGCTTGACACCTAATGTCGCCTAATGTCATGAGCTTGACACCTAATGTCGCCTAATGTCATAAAGCTTGACACCTAATGTTGCCTAATGTCATGAGCTTGACACCTAATGTCGCCTAATGTCATGAGATTGACACCTAATGTCGCCTAATGTCATGAGCTTGACACCTAATGTTGCCTAATGTCATAAAGCTTGACACCTAATGTCGCCTAATGTCATGAGCTTGACACCTAATGTCGCCTAATGTCATGAGCTTGACACCTAATGTTGCCTAATGTCATGAGCTTGACACCTAATGTCGCCTAATGTCATGAGCTTGACACCTAATGTCGCCTAATGTCATGAGCTTGACACCTAATGTTGCCTAATGTCATGAGCTTGACACCTAATGTCGCCTAATGTCATAAAGCTTGACACCTAATGTCGCCTAATGTCATGAGCTTGACACCTAATGTCGCCTAATGTCATAAAGCTTGACACCTAATGTCGCCTAATGTCATGAGCTTGACACCTAATGTCGCCTAATGTCATGAGCTTGACGCCTAATGTCATGAGCTTGACACCTAATGTTGCCTAATGTCATGAGCTTGACACCTAATGTCGCCTAATGTCATAAAGCTTGACACCTAATGTCGCCTAATGTCATGAGCTTGACACCTAATGTCGCCTAATGTCATAAAGCTTGACACCTAATGTCGCCTAATGTCATGAGCTTGACACCTAATGTCGCCTAATGTCATGAGCTTGACGCCTAATGTCATGAGCTTGACACCTAATGTTGCCTAATGTCATGAGCTTGACACCTAATGTCGCCTAATGTCATGAGCTTGACACCTAATGTCGCCTAATGTCATGAGCTTGACACCTAATGTCGCCTAATGTCATGAGCTTGACACCTAATGTTGCCTAATGTCATAAAGCTTGACACCTAATGTCGCCTAATGTCATGAGCTTGACACCTAATGTCGCCTAATGTCATGAGCTTGACACCTAATGTCGCCTAATGTCATGAGCTTGACACCTAATGTCGCCTAATGTCATGAGCTTGACACCTAATGTCGCCTAATGTCATGAGCTTGACACCTAATGTTGCCTAATGTCATGAGCTTGACACCTAATGTCGCCTAATGTCATAAAGCTTGACACCTAATGTCGCCTAATGTCATGAGCTTGACACCTAATGTCGCCTAATGTCATAAAGCTTGACACCTAATGTCGCCTAATGTCATGAGCTTGACACCTAATGTCGCCTAATGTCATAAACTCTTGACACCTAATGTCGCCTAATGTCATAAACTCTTGACACCTAATGTCGCCTAATGTCATAAACTCTAGACACCTAATGTCGCCTAATGTCATGAGCTTGACACCTAATGTCGCCTAATGTCATGAGCTTGACACCTAATGTTGCCTAATGTCATGAGCTTGACACCCAATGTCGCCTAATGTCATGAGCTTGACACCTAATGTTGCCTAATGTCATGAGCTTGACACCTAATGTCGCCTAATGTCATGAGCTTGACACCTAATGTTGCCTAATGTCATGAGCTTGACACCTAATGTTGCCTAATGTCATGAGCTTGACACCTAATGTCGCCTAATGTCATAAACTCGACACCTAATGTCGCCTAATGTCCTAAACTCTTGACACCTAATGTCGCCTAATGTCATAAACTCTTGACACCTAATGTCGCCTAATGTCATAAACTCTTGACACCTAATGTCGCCTAATGTCATAAACTCTTGACACCTAATGTCGCCTAATGTCATAAACTCTTGACACCTAATGTCGCCTAATGTCATGAGCTTGACACCTAATGTCGCCTAATGTCATGAGCTTGACACCTAATGTCGCCTAATGTCATGAGCTTGACACCCAATGTCGCCTAATGTCATGAGCTTGACACCTAATGTTGCCTAATGTCATGAGCTTGACACCTAATGTCGCCTAATGTCATGAGCTTGACACCTAATGTTGCCTAATGTCATGAGCTTGACACCTAATGTTGCCTAATGTCATGAGCTTGACACCTAATGTCGCCTAATGTCATAAACTCGACACCTAATGTCGCCTAATGTCATAAACTCTTGACACCTAATGTCGCCTAATGTCATAAACTCTTGACACCTAATGTCGCCTAATGTCATAAACTCTTGACACCTAATGTCGCCTAATGTCATAAACTCTTGACACCTAATGTCGCCTAATGTCATAAACTCTTGACACCTAATGTCGCCTAATGTCATGAGCTTGACACCTAATGTCGCCTAATGTCATGAGCTTGACACCTAATGTTGCCTAATGTCATGAGCTTGACACCCAATGTCGCCTAATGTCATGAGCTTGACACCTAATGTTGCCTAATGTCATGAGCTTGACACCTAATGTCGCCTAATGTCATGAGCTTGACACCTAATGTTGCCTAATGTCATGAGCTTGACACCTAATGTTGCCTAATGTCATGAGCTTGACACCTAATGTCGCCTAATGTCATAAACTCGACACCTAATGTCGCCTAATGTCATAAACTCTTGACACCTAATGTCGCCTAATGTCATAAACTCTTGACACCTAATGTCGCCTAATGTCATAAACTCTTGACACCTAATGTCGCCTAATGTCATAAACTCTTGACACCTAATGTCGCCTAATGTCATAAACTCTTGACACCTAATGTCGCCTAATGTCATGAGCTTGACACCTAATGTTGCCTAATGTCATGAGCTTGACACCTAATGTTGCCTAATGTCATGAGCTTGACACCTAATGTCGCCTAATGTCATGAGCTTGACACCTAATGTCGCCTAATGTCATGAGCTTGACACCTAATGTTGCCTAATGTCATGAGCTTGACACCTAATGTTGCCTAATGTCATGAGCTTGACACCTAATGTTGCCTAATGTCATGAGCTTGACACCTAATGTTGCCTAATGTCATGAGCTTGACACCTAATGTCGCCTAATGTCATGAGCTTGACACCTAATGTCGCCTAATGTCATGAGCTTGACACCTAATGTCATGAGCTTGACACCTAATGTCGCCTAATGTCATGAGCTTGACACCTAATGTCGCCTAATGTCATGAGCTTGACACCTAATGTTGCCTAATGTCATGAGCTTGACACCTAATGTCGCCTAATGTCATGAGCTTGACACCTAATGTCATGAGCTTGACACCTAATGTTGCCTAATGTCATGAGCTTGACACCTAATGTTGCCTAATGTCATGAGCTTGACACCTAATGTCGCCTAATGTCATGAGCTTGACACCTAATGTCATGAGCTTGACACCTAATGTTGCCTAATGTCATGAGCTTGACACCTAATGTTGCCTAATGTCATGAGCTTGACACCTAATGTCACATGTTGCCTAATGTCATGAGCTTGACACCTAATGTCGCCTAATGTCATGAGCTTGACACCTAATGTTGCCTAATGTCATGAGCTTGACACCTAATGTCGCCTAATGTCATGAGCTTGACACCTAATGTTGCCTAATGTCATGAGCTTGACACCTAATGTCGCCTAATGTCATGAGCTTGACACCTAATGTTGCCTAATGTCATGAGCTTGACACCTAATGTCGCCTAATGTCATGAGCTTGACACCTAATGTCGCCTAATGTCATGAGCTTGACACCTAATGTTGCCTAATGTCATGAGCTTGACACCTAATGTCGCCTAATGTCATGAGCTTGACACCTAATGTCGCCTAATGTCATGAGCTTGACACCTAATGTCATGAGCTTGACACCTAATGTCGCCTAATGTCATGAGCTTGACACCTAATGTCGCCTAATGTCATGAGCTTGACACCTAATGTTGCCTAATGTCATGAGCTTGACACCTAATGTCGCCTAATGTCATGAGCTTGACACCTAATGTCATGAGCTTGACACCTAATGTTGCCTAATGTCATGAGCTTGACACCTAATGTTGCCTAATGTCATGAGCTTGACACCTAATGTCGCCTAATGTCATGAGCTTGACACCTAATGTCATGAGCTTGACACCTAATGTTGCCTAATGTCATGAGCTTGACACCTAATGTTGCCTAATGTCATGAGCTTGACACCTAATGTCACATGTTGCCTAATGTCATGAGCTTGACACCTAATGTCGCCTAATGTCATGAGCTTGACACCTAATGTTGCCTAATGTCATGAGCTTGACACCTAATGTCGCCTAATGTCATGAGCTTGACACCTAATGTTGCCTAATGTCATGAGCTTGACACCTAATGTCGCCTAATGTCATGAGCTTGACACCTAATGTTGCCTAATGTCATGAGCTTGACACCTAATGTCACATGTTGCCTAATGTCATGAGCTTGACACCTAATGTCGCCTAATGTCATGAGCTTGACACCTAATGTCGCCTAATGTCATGAGCTTGACACCTAATGTCGCCTAATGTCATGAGCTTGATGCCTAATGTCATGAGCTTGACACACACTCAGACTGGATGCATCACCTTCTCTGCTTCAGGAAGACATTGCAACAGAGCCACAGTGTTCTGTGATCGCTGAGCGTCGCTGTCGTGTCTACAGGCCGGCCGAACCATCATGGCCTCTAACACCACTTCATACAGGGTCCTCGTGATGAGAGGAGACGGCAGCTCGCGCAGGTAGTCCTTCAGGATGCCTGAACACAAAATTAAAAAACAATCCATATTTTCATCTACAGATTTAATTGCATGTTATTTGTGTATATTTTCATACATGCATATTATTGTTCCCTACTTGAGTTTGTAAATTGATATTGTTCAATAAAATCAGGTGGACTGACCGGTGATGACATTGACGTCGGGATAGAGCTCGTCGTTTAAGGAAACTGCGGCACTGTCTTTCTCAAACGCATCGCGCAATTCCTTCTTCACTGCTGCAGAACCACAGAGACGATACAACCCCACCACCTACACACACACACACACACACACACACACACACACACACAGAGTCTTTTTACAATCACTACGACACATTTCTCAATACTTAGATCTATTATGCAAAGTCTTGATGTTGTTTCAGGCTCTACTAGAACAGGTTTTCCTGCTTGAATGCTGATTATTCTCCTCATATTCTCCATTGTTGCGGCTCCTCTCTTCCCAGTCTGTCAGTAACGCTCTGTTTACTTCCTGTCTCTATGAAGCCCCTCCTCCTGAAAAGCACACTGTGCTCTGATTGGTCGGCTGGAGCAGTGTGCTGTGATTGGTCGAGCGCTTCGAGTGTGTTTGGGAAATGTCCCGCTCTTCCCATAACCGCCAGTTTAACACACTACTAACTAACTCAACCAGGCCCCGCCCCTTTATTCTGCACATGAATTATTATAATGAGGAATATTGTGACGTGTTCGTTCCCGGAAGAAACTCAAGACTACAATGGAGGCGTTTCAGGAGTTCAGAAACACACTGGAGAGACTTTGTGAACCTTTTTAATGCTCAAACAGAAACATTAGATAAAGAAAGTTGTAAAAAAAGCAGAATAGGACTCCTTTAACTGCAGTGCCAAGCTGAAAGTTGGTGTGAAGAGTTTTGAAAAAGTGACCCAAGTATTGAGAAATAATAATTAGTGCTGGGCAAAGATTAATCGCATCCAAAATAAACGTTTGTGTACAAAAATAATTAATTTGATTATTCATATAATTAATCGTTGCCCAGCACTAATAAAAATCTGTAAATGCACGCCAGGTCGGACAGATGTCTGAGTTGGTCTCACCCTCAGTCCTCTCCTCTCGATCTCAGAAACACACTTCTGAATGATCAGAGGCACTCCGAGCGCCGACGCTTCTTTCTCCACCAGGGGGCGCAGCTCCACCCCGAACACTGTAGGGGGGGGCAGGTCACTGAGGCGCGGGAACGGGGTCACGAACTGCTCCAGCAGGGTCAGCTTCACATACAGCAAACCACGAGGCTCCAGACGAACACACAGCTGCTGACTGCGAGAAGCTGCGGGAGAGAGAGACAGAGAGAGAGACAGAGAGAGAGAGAGAGACAGAGAGAGAGACAGAGAGAGAGAGAGAGAGAGAGAGAGACAGAGAGAGAGAGAGAGAGAGACAGAGAGAGAGAGAGAGAGAGAGAGAGAGAGAGAGAGAGAGAGATAGACATTAGGACGTTATGACTACTATTATTACCACTAAATTATGATCATCCACTATGAGGACATTAGAGGGACATTTTATACAAAATGTGAAATACTTTGCCCTAACTTCATAAAGTGAAACAATAAAACAACTTCAACATTTATTAGGTGAAAAAGGAGATTGTATTCTACTAGCAGCAACACATACTGAAGCCTGTCACACACAGAGGGAGGAGTCGACTAATCAGTGATGCGCTCTCACACACACACACACACACTGAATTCTAAATTGTTCATAGAGTTCTGAAATGTTGATTAAATTGTTCTACTTACCCTTTCATTTTATTTTTTAATTTATCTATTTATTTATTTTATGTATGTATACATATGACTATTGGAAATACATTCAAATAATTGTCATGTCAATAAAGCACATTTGAATTGAATTGAGAGAGAGAAGATAAAGAGATAAGAGGCTCAGTGCAAGATCAGAGCCAATGCAGGCTATGACTGGGTGGTATGGTTGTATACACAGTGAAAGGGTAAACTTTGTTATATAAAGGTAGATATATTTGCTATTAAAAGGCAGGAATGCTTTACATTATTTACATTGAAGAGACGTGAGGAACATGTTCCAAATGCTTGGAAGTAGCAACAGATAATTTTTTACATAGTGTGCCCTTTATCCGAGTGAAACGGAAGAACGAAAAATTATTTAAATTTAAATGTAGGGCGGGGCTTGGTTCAATCCACCAACTATTGATTGGATGGAGGCGGATCTGAATGCAAGTTTGCAGTCGATTGTAAGAAAGATCAGCACGAGATGATCGGAGAAGTCTAGCATACGTCACCAGAGAGAAGTCAGTCGTTTCACCGGAAGATTTGATTAAACTTTACAACGTCAAAACATAAAAAAAAGAAACATATACACGGATGAGTTACCAATAATTTTCATTTATAAAAAAAATGGTGAATTTCCATTTTTTTAATGCTGACTTTAAGGGGTGGTTTGTTAGTCTAAACACAAAGTAGAGTTCAGTTGCTTATGGTTTGCAATGTGACGAGTTACAATAGAATAAAAATAAAAAAATAATTCTGTCATCATTTACTCACCCTTATGTCATTTCAAATACGCAAGACTTTCGTACATCTTTCGTAACACAAATGAAGATATCTTCATTTATAGAGAATTTATGCCCCTCCATTGAAAGTCTATTTACCCAAAACGTTCATGCAGGCTTTTGTTCACATATAAACATTGTTCAGCGAATATAAAAGTCCTGTTTACACCTGGTATTAAGATGCGTTTCCGTCAATCCGATCGTAAGTGGACGATGTTAAATACAGGTGTAAACAGGGTCTAAAACGTTTTCAGCTCGTCCTCTTTTAACCACTGCAAGAGGTAGTCGAAAACGCATTGCAAACTGGATTGCTTTTGTAGTGTAAACGCTCATGTGGTCGAAGCTGCTGATCTGCGTGTGTTCGTGTTCATATGGAAATTACGTGAGCTTATTTTGTCCATTAGATTGAAAGATCTGAAAAAGCCCATAGATTTACCCGCCCATAGACCCTCCCCTCAAAGAAATCAGGACAGAAGTGGTTTGAAGTGGACGAACGAGACGGATTAAAACACCAGGTGTAAACGAGAATGTCTTTCCCTCGTCTACTTGTAAACCGATTGACCAAAACTTAATACCAGGTGTAAACAGGGCCAAAGAGAAGCTCAACTCTCCTAGCTTGATGTGTTCTGAAGATAAACAAAAGTCTTACAGGTTTGGAAAAAAATGAGGGTGAGTAATTGATGACAGAGTTTTCATTTTTGGTAAAACTAATCCTTTAAAAAGCAGCTTCAAAAATGGCTCATCTAATCAGACTTTAGAGAACTATCAGTTTCATCGTGGGACTTGATTCACAAATGGTTGGTTCTCTTACCCTTGAAGAGGGACGGTATAGCCACAGCGCCCAGACAGCAAACCCGGTTACGCGTGGGAGCTGCCAGCGCGCAAGACCCGATGTTAGCGCTAGCAGTCGTTGGCGTTAAGATGACCAGTTTGAGCAGCCGTGCCCTCTCGAGCTCCAGGTTAAAGGTGTGGTTTAGTGGGAGACACGCTCCTCGACAAGTTAGCAGGGACGTTCGAGCCCGGGTCACCCCGTCCACTTGAATGGCACAGAAGACTTCTTTATTAGCATCGATCCGAGGGCATCGGAGTAGCTCTTCGACTCCCAGCAAATGCACCGTGAGCAGCCCTGAGAGTCTCTGAGCACAGCGAGGCTGATCCGTCAGCGAGTACAAGCGGAATGACTCCGCGTCTGCCACAGCGAGTGAATCCTGTGGTACACGGTGTGGTGGAGGTGTAGGTGAGCCTTTCGACCCCTGACCCTTTGGCAGGAGTTCAGGTGAGTCTCCATCGCTAAGATACCCTCCTTTACTAGCAGAGCTCATTCGAGAGGATCGACGTCTTGGCCTTGCGGGTGCACTGGAGTCCAGGTGGTACTTGCTGATGATGTTGGATGATTCTTTGCATGCATTTGGTGGTAAAGCCTCATCTGAGGCTCCCGGTGCACTGCTGGCATTTCCTTGGCTCTGTCCATGACGCTGATTACGGGATGAGCGCAGGCTAAGCTTCCGCCTTAGTTCTGGGAGTTTCCGCATCTTCATAGAGAGCCGCCGAACCGTTCCTGGAGACTTGATCTTGTCGATCACACTGCTGCCATTTCCACCCTCTCCTGGGCTTCTCTTTGGTGTCGCCGAACTGTCAGAGTTCACAACACTTGCAGAGCTAATACAGTCCGACTGTAGCGTAACCAGATCTGAACCCAAAGAAACACACTGTTAGAAACTTACAAGGAATTACAACTTTTAAGATGTTCCTACAACCAAGTTGTGCTTTAGTATCCTAGTAGTCAGTGTCAAAACATAGTAAGATGCCTTGCTGTTAGGCAGCACACTAGGTAACAGAAATGAAACCTTATAAACCAGGGGAGTTCAATCCTGATCCTGGAAGGCCAACTTACTTCTGTAGGCTCCAATACACCTGCCTGGAAGTTTCTAGTGATCCTAAAGACCTTGATGAGCTGATCTAGGTGTGTTTAATTAGGGCTAGAACTGAACTCGGCCGGAAGGTGGCCCTCCAGGAGGCGATTTTTTTTTTTTGCAGGGTGGTAGGGGAAGACTCGTTAATATTCATTGGGGAACTAATCCCTGATTGGCTCGCCGTGACACATCTCTAATGAGATGTGGTAGAGAAAACAGACATCGTCTCCTTCATGACAACATACACTTTCGCGAAGGTAAGGCATACCTGTCAACATTTGGTTATCCAAATCCGGAAGATTTGTGCTGAGACCGCTCACGAACTTCGCAAACTTCTGTATCTTTGCGGGGACATTGTCTTGATCTGCCACGTCAATCTGAGTGACGCGTGACAGCGAACCAACTGCGGATTAGTTCCCCAATGAATATTAGTCTTCCCCTACCACCCTACAAAAAAAAAAAGTTTGCCTACAGGAGCAGGATTGGACACCCCACCATAAACTGATTTGCAATGATGAGATGGAATTAGATCCACTTTCCTGTAGACTTTAGCCCCAACACTTATCAAACACACCTGAACATGGTAATTAAGGTCTTTAGGATAACTAGAAAGTTACAGGCAGATACGTTTTTTATCACGGTTTGAGCTAAACTCTGCAGGACAGTAGGCATCGAGGGCCAGAGTTGTGCCGAATCCGATCCCTTCTACAGAGACTCTACTCGCAGGACAGTGTCCCTCCAGGACCAAAGTTGCCTATCCCAGCTCTACATCAAGGATGGGCAACTCTGGCACTCAAGATCCACTTTCTTGTAGACTTTAGCCCCAACACTTATCAAACACACCTGAATATGCAAATTAAGGTCTTCAGACAGCTATAGGCAGGTGAGTTTGGTCAGGGTTGAAGCTAAACTCTGCAGGACAGTAGGCCTCAAGGGCCAGAGTTGTGCCGAGTCCGACCCCTGCTCTACGTAGGCAGTAAAACAGTGGTTCAACATGTAAAGTGCTCCAGAGACTCTACTCGCAGGACAGTGACCCTCCAGGACCAAAGTTGCCCATCCCAGCTCTACATCAAGAATGGGCAACTCTGGCCCTCAAGATCCACTTTCCTGTAGACTTTAGCCCTAATACTTATCAAACACACCTGAATATGCAATTAAAGGTCTTCAGACAGCTATAGACAGGTGAGTTTGGTCAGGGTTGAAGCTAAACTCTGCAGGACAGTAGGCCTCAAGGGCCAGAGTTGTGCCGAGTCCGACCCCTGCTCTACGTAGGCAGTAAAACAGTGGTTCAACATGTAAAGTGCTCCAGAGACTCTACTCGCAGGACAGTGACCCTCCAGGACCAAAGTTGCCCATCCCAGCTCTACATCAAGAATGGGCAACTCTGGCCCTCAAGATCCACTTTCCTGTAGACTTTAGCCCTAATACTTATCAAACACACCTGAATATGCAATTAAAGGTCTTCAGACAGCTATAGACAGGTGAGTTTGGTCAGGGTTGAAGCTAAACTCTGCAGGACAGTAGGCCTCAAGGGCCAGAGTTGTGCCGAGTCCGACCCCTGCTCTACGTAGGCAGTAAAACAGTGGTTCAACATGTAAAGTGCTCCAGAGACTCTCCTCGCAGAACAGTGACCCTCCAGGACCAAAGTTGCCCATCCCAGCTCTACATCAAGAATGGGCAACTCTGGCCCTCAAGATCCACTTTCCTGTAGACTTTAGCCCTAATACTTATCAAACACACCTGAATATGCAATTGAAGGTCTTCAGACAGCTATAGGCAGGTGAGTTTTTATCAGGTTTGGAGCTAAACTCTGCAGGACAGTAGGCTTCGAGGGCCAGAGTTGTGCCGAGTCTGACCCCTGCTCTACATAGGCAGTAAAACAGTGCTTCAAGTCAAATCAAGTCAAGTCACCTTCATTTATATAGCCCTTTTACCAATATAGATCGTTTCAAAGCAGCTTTACAGTGATAATAGGAAATTAAAGTAACAGAGATTGTTTAGGCTGTACAGCAGCTTTAGAATAAAGTTATTGTCCAGCTAAAGTTAGTTTTAATTGATTTACTTCCATTGCAAAGATCATTAGTTATTAACTTAGGGGCCGCTTACACAACACCGTTTCAACCGAAACCTTTTAATGAAAAAAGTAATAATAAAGCGATATAGAGTTTGACATTAGTATGTCACTAGGCTAAAGACGTGATACTGGTTAGCATAAAAATACATACAAATATTGGGTAAAGCATTCAGTTTCTAATTATATTGAACTATTTGTGTATTCAGGGATTGCCTTCTCCACAACTGTTGCCGACTTCGAATTTGACCAAAAGAAGGTATCTTAAAAGGCAGGCCTATTATAATTATGCTGCCTACTTTTTGAAAGAGCCTCTAGAACACATATATGATGCCATCAAATTCTGTCTAGGTAGGCAGCTCACTAGGTTTTAGAAAAGAACTTATAATTACATGTAATGTGGTTGCTTTCAATCCCATTTTTTCTAAATTTGTGAACGCCAAACACAATCAGCATAGCATAACACAGCATGTCAGTCTACTTACTATAAATATCATTTCAAAACAGCACTTCTCATTTTAAGGCCAGCTGTGTGTGCTGGAAATGCATCTTAGCTTGTGACAAACTCTTACATAATGGAAAATCTGACCATACCCGAACTATCCGTCCTGATTAAGTCGACTTCAGTTTGAATGTCTCTCGTTTGATTGGTCAAACCCCCTGATCGTTTCTGGTCTCTTTTCTCCTTTGCCAACCCCTCATTTTCTCTCTTTCTCCACGGGTCTCCGTATTTTTCCTGATCTGCTTCTCCGCTGGCCCTTAAGTCGTCCTCTTCAGGAATGGGGTTGTACCAAATGTTTCCGTCTCCATCCGGGCCCTGTCGCCACTCTGTGATTCTGGTTGGATTCTGGGCCTCATCTGATGCCTGGGGCTTTCCTGTGGACAGTACCCAGGCTCGACTGCTCCTGTCCAGGTGCTGGAGGTAAGCGCCTTGCCCAGAGATCTTTGCTGAGCTGGAAGAGACACACACATCCATAAAGGTCGTAGATGAAGGGGTCAACTCCGGTAAACCGGCCTCAACCGAGTTGCACGGTGCGCTGGAATATCCAAACTCCAATTCAAGATCATTCCGATTTCTCTTCAAGCCATCCTCACTTAAAGTTTGTTGGTTCCAGGGCTGTTTTGAGACCTCAGCCTTTCCAGAGCACAAATCCCAGTCCTGTGGCCCGTAGACCAGGCCAGGACACAGATCTGTGCCAACTGGGTCTCTGCAAGTGGAGGGAAGTTTGGCCCAGTTCTGTTTTTTGGAGACGGTGATCTGGGAGCGTCTGGTACACTCCTCTCGCTCTGGGCTCTCGGTCTCAGCGTGACCTGAGGTGGATCCAGTTGATGGAGGACTTTGGAAAAGTTCCACCTTTTCTGTCACTTCTAAAGCAGAGGAAAGAAAACAGCCATTATTATCATAGCAGGGAGTATTTGGCCTTATTTGGTGTTGAAATAGTTGTCTGGATTGGAGTGACTAACATGAAGAATTGATCACTGGAGACTTGCAACATTCAGAAACAGCAAATACCACAAGTAAAAGTGGAACTGGGGGCTATTAACCTTTACAGGGTTTGCTTCCTCCCTAAAACAACATTTCTGAGATGAGTTTACAGTGACGTAGAGCTGCGAAGAGAGAGGGCGACTGGAAAGAATTAAAATAAGACCTAAGAGGAGGGGTGAAGATATTTACCATCTCCTTCACCCTCGGCTCCCTCTCCCTCCCATCTTGCAAATCTGGAAGTTTCTCCAAACTCCCTCCTCCCGTTTTCCCCTTACTCACTCACTCTCTCTCTCTCTCTGTTCTTTCCCCTCTTGAAATTATGAACGTGGCTTGTGACACACAGTTAGCCAAATATCTTATCCACTTCCAGAAGCCATGAATAACTCGTGTGTGTGTGTGTGTGTGTTGCGCATTATCTCTGTTGGCTTGCATGACTCTGGAAGTGCTGAATAAAAACATCTCTTTAGTCAGCACTGCTCATGAGTGTATTGCTAGTTTAGAAGGCCAAGACAACATTCAACAATCAAACGCCTAAACCACTAACGCTGCTTAAACACCGCACAAAGATGTGGCGAAAGGTTTGATAGATAGAAACATGCAAGTCTATTTCAAGGGTGCGGAAAGAGCCAGGTCAGTTGGGAACACAGGATTTCCGAGCACACAACAGAAACCGCTCATCTGAAATTTTCTTTGGTCATCATTGATGGTCGTACAAACATTGAATTAGAAGTTTTCCTGAAACACACTCTTGATGTAGGCATCGCAGACCTTGTGTTTGAAGAGTAACCTCTATGTTTCAAAAACTTTTCTTTCTCAATCAATATCCTCGTTCACTCTGAAATGTGCCACATTACAGAAGCCAAATTGACTTTAAGCTGAAAACAGAAAGACACAGATCTCTTTATGCTTCCCTGAACAGGAAGTGTTACAGTAGTTTAAGTGACTTCCTGTTATGCCAAAGCAGCCAAGAAAAAGAGGGAGAGAAACAGAAAGCAACAAGCTAGAGCTACACATATCGCAGACGTAAATGCACAGACTGAGAGAAGGTGCAGAAGAGATTCATTTGATTTACATTGGCAGACTTTTATCCATGCATTCCCTGGGAATCAAACCCATGACATTAGCATTACTAGCACCATTCTTCAGCTACAGGAAAGCATGTACAGTCAAACCTACATTTATACACACACCTTCAACCTTTCTCACACTATCACAGTTTATTCGTTATATAGAAAATGTTAGTAAAATCTGAGCAGAACTCAGAGTTATTAAATCAGTGGATATTTGACTGGTTTTGTCCGTCCTTCTATTAGACTCTCACACATGAATTATGTTGAATATCTGTCAGCTGTTAAATTTAACTCCACAATTAGATAATACCAGTTTAGCTCAACCAGTGACCAAGCAATGCTTCATGTTGTTCAGTGTGTGTGTAAAAAGAGCATTAGCAATTACAGAAAACACACTGAAGAAAACACGATCAGCTCAAAGTGGAGGGATAGTTTTGGGTGTAATATGTCATAGTTTACTTTATTTTGCTCTCCTCACTTACAGAAATGAACTATAGTGTCCTGCACACACTAGTGAAAAAAAAAAAAAGTAAAATTTATATCTGGTGTCTGAATAATTTTTGGTTTGACTGTATTCAAAGATGCAAAAATTAGGATGAAGAATAAAGAAAAAGGTTTACACATGGAAATACAACAAGCCAAAACAGGGAGCGATGTGAGTGAGAAACACACAGCTGTTGGGCCGCTGAGAGGATTCAATGAGCGGTCTGTGCTGAGGGCTTTCCTTCACAGCTGGACACACACACTTAACCCTATTCACTATTCATTACAACACCCCAAAATACACACGCTCACACAAAGCCCACTCTCACGGCCGGCATGCTGGACTCACCCTTCACCTCTGACGCCACAGTGTGTGTGTGTTTATGAAGCCGTCTCTGGGTCTAAACAGCACATTGATAAACTGGCCTTTCTCTATTTAGTTTGTTACGACTTTAAATAGCGACGTGCACCAAACCCAAGACTGACGAACCGTTAGAGCTTCAGTTCAGCCATTTATAGATCTCTTTAAATCTCTTCTTAAAACATGCTTTTACTTGATTATTCATTTTATTTCTTTATTTTTGTATTTAAAGTGTGTAGTTTTCTCTGTTGTTATGTTTGCCTGTAAAGCGCAACTTTTAAAGGCGCTATATAAAATAAAATGTATTATTATTATTATAATATCGACTAGGCCGATTGATCAAACAGCAGATGTTTATCCATTTTTACATTATTGGAGAAGTAACAGAAGTGTTGAGGACTAAAATACAGATAAAGTGTATTTTTCAGGGTTTCAGATTTGTGTGTCTTTCACATTTTTTCTTTAAGGCACTGAATGTTAAACTGCGGAATTGCATTCACTTGAGGAAAAAAAATCGACTCTGTTTTTCTGAATTAACGAGTTAATTATCTCAGAATTACGAGAATTTTTCATGGAAAAAAGTTTTTGCTCTGTTTTTCTGAATTAACGAGTTAATTATCTCAGAATTACGAGATAATTTTTCATGGTAAAAAGTTTTTGCTCTGTTTTTCTGAATTAACGAGTTAATTATCTCAGAATTACGAGAATTTTTCATGGAAAAAAAGTTTTTGCTCTGTTTTTCTGAATTAACGAGTTAATTATCTCATAATTACGAGATAATTTTTCATGGTAAAAAGTTTTTGCTCTGTTTTTCTGAATTAACGAGTTAATTATCTCAGAATTACGAGATAATTTTCATGGAAAAAAGTGTTTGATCTATTTTTCTGAATTAACGAGTTAATTATCTCAGAATTACGAGATAATTTTTCATGGAAAAAAGTTTTTGCTCTGTTTTTCTGAATTAACGAGTTAATTAGCTCCGAATTACGAGAGAATTTTTCATGGAAAAAAAGTTTTTGCTCTGTTTTTCTGAATTAATGAGTTAATTAGCTCAGAATTACGAGAGAATTTTTCATGGAAAAAAAGTTTTTGCTCTGTTTTTCTGAATTAACGAGTTAATTATCTCAGAATTACGAGATAATTTTTCATGGAAAAAAGTTTTTGCTCTGTTTTTCTGAATTAACGAGTTAATTATCTCGGAATTACGAGATATTTTTCATGGAAAAAAAGTTTTTGCTCTGTTTTTCTGAATTAACGAGTTAATTATCTCAGAATTATGAGATATTTTTCATGGAAAAAAAGTTTTTGCTCTGTTTTTCTGAATTAACAAGTAACTCATTAATTCATAAAAACAGAGTGAAAAAAAAAATTTCAAGAAAAAATTCTCTCATAATTCTGAGATAATTAACTCATTAATTCAGAAAAACAGAGTAGATTTTTTTTCCTCAAGTGAATGCAATACGCTTCCGTATTAAACTGCATCAAACACAGATCAAATGTACCTCTAATGCATGACAGATTTATAGTCAGTTTGTTGAATGATAAAATGTGATGAATAATCCAGACTGAAAAGGCTGTTTGTTAGTGTGTTTGTTTACCATGTTTGGCAGTGTGTGAAATAATTAGTGAAAATGTTTGCTGAGAATATTCACGGCGTAACGGTTAAAGAGTTTTTCCCAGAATGCCGATCTCTCCCCCCTTCATTCGCCCACATAATTTGAGACATCCGGTCGCTGTATTTGCTCTGAAAACACAAGCCAAACTATTAATAATCACATCAGGAAAGACTAAAAACATGCAAGCAGATCTTCTGTTTCAGGACATTTATATCTCAACGCACTGAGAGTTATTTGCCCCCATCAGAACAGCAATAATAAACATGCATGATCATTTAAACTCCACATTTGAGCCTGCTGAAGACGTCAGATCAGATCTGAGGAGAGCAGACTGAGAGGAAACTCGCTCATAAACATCTGCAGTTATTGAGTAATATGACTTTATCTGATGGTCAGACTCTTCGGCTAGAGCAGAAACACGAGACCAGTGCGAGTTCAAGAGAGCTAGACGAGAAAACAACAATAACGTGTGTGTCATCTGAAGGCCTCGATGTGAACTTGCACAGTCTGTCCTGTTCTAGGCTGAGCTTCTTATCGCAATAATTCATCAGATTTGAAGATCGCTGCTTCAGTTTCACACAGAAAAGAAATGGACATGGAACAGAAACGGCTTCATGTAGCTCTGCCGCTGAAAATACTGTTTTTGAGTGTATGTTGAATTTGTTTCTGCAATGCTCTATTTTTTAGATTGGAAGTGCGTCTCATCTCTGTTGATGTCTGGATTATAGAATTAAACATCAGCATTATCAGTGCATTAGTCTGGCCAGATGCTGACAGCTGCATTTCTGCTTACATATTTTCCCAGAGTGCCTCAAACCGCACATCTCTGCTGTCTGGAAGCCGGCCCGCAGAACCAGCTTTCCCAGAAGACCAAACCAGAGGACTGTTTGGAACAATGTAAATATATGCTGTAAGCAACATAGTTAAAGTAAATACAATAAATTAATATATATGCAAAAGAAATATATATAACGCATTTAATTTATATGCATATATATTAATTTATTGTATTTACTTTAACTGTATTTTAATATGAACCAATGCATAAATTATAATTCTATAAATATATTAAAATGCTTATTTAATAAAAAACATTACGTAAATAAATAAATGGGAAATTAACTTCAAAAATGCATTCATATAAAACAGCTATAGTCAGTAAATATTTTTAATATTATAATAATTACATAAATTAAATTAATACATATACAAAAATAAAAATAGCTTGTATAAATTATTCTTAATATATAATTTATTATAATATATATATATACAATTATATAAATTCATTATATACATTTATTAACTATAAAAAAATATTTATATATTTTTGTAAATAAATAAATAAATAA